AGTGTAGATTTTAAACTTCATAAGAGTGTAATTAACATTTTAAGTGTTGTAAATTTAAATACTGTATGAGTATTAGAAACTGGTGGTGTTGATTTCGAATCTTGCAAACGTCAAAAGCCTAATAAGCTACAGCAACTCAAATTGAACTCAAAATTCACATTTATTTCACAACTAGCCAATGTGTAACCATTCAACAAATCTATTAAATCACTATTATACTACAGTAAACATTTCTTTATTTACTTTATAACTTACAAGACTTTTAATGAGTCACTATCGCACTGTAATACAAATATATGTCTGTCATCAGCTAAAAAAACTTGAAAAATTAAATTCAATATTCAAATTGATATTTGTTATAACTTAATTGGAATACCCAAGCTTGTATTATGTTGACAGGTTGTATGTTTCAGCATTAGGTGCAAGTAGGCTATGGCTTATATGGAAATTAAAAAATATTAATGTGGCTGCTTTTCATCAATTATGATGACAACATCAGGTGTACTATTCCTAGATATACAAATAAAAAATGAAATTAGGATTTTTATAATAAAGTCTAAATCAACCAGATTCAGAGATAGATAATTTGTTAATCTCTATAATTTTAGTGCTGCCAGGTTAGAAATTAGTTCCGCTACTTTATTTGGAATCTTTTCTCCAGGCAAACTGATGTTATATGCATGCACTTCCAAGAAGATATAACAAAATTCAAGGGCTTTTACATAATGTAGGTTAAGGATGTAGTGCAGCTAGAAAAGCCGATCAGCTGCAGATGTGATGTTATCCAAACAAGAGATGGCGTTAGTATCCAAAATAACAAAAAATTGCTGGGGATCATCCATTGTCCCCAAGTATAACAGGAATTGCTGCCTCCGCATCCTTCCCTTGGTTTTTAACCTAAAGAAAAAAAAGAATAAACACAAATCTGAGTTGAAATTGAAGTAGATGTAGATGGTAGTAAATGTTGTTGTCCGGTCATAAAAATGGTTTATCATACAGTATATTAATGTTTTATTCTTTTAAAGTAAACAATAATTTATGATTCTATTTCTACCAGAAACAAAATAGAATCGGTTGAAAAAAAGCTCCAATTTGTCACATGGCAGCAGAGAAGGGTAAACAAATATGTTGGCCTATATGTTATTGTTAAATTTATAATCAATAGACATGTGTATATATTAATTACTTTTTTCCATTTGACTATAACAAATTAGATGTTTTTCCTTTTGACCAAGGCATTCAAACATAAAAGATGATCATCTGGGTACATTAAAAGTTAAAGGTACACATGTGACACATTTTTACATACATACTTTCATTCACAGTAAACACATATCTAAATATACAAATCCTTAAAATATAATTGGTTTTTATATTTTGAACATAGGCATGTAATAATGGAAACAAAATTAGTACACTTACGATTTGTGTTCGATAAACAACTTTGTCAAATCCCTTAATGCACATTTATGTTTCCCTGTATCGGACGACAGCAAGTTGAGGAGTACACGGAAAGCATACATTGATTTCTTGTGTGTGAAAAAAAAATATATATATATATATATATATATAAATATATATACAGTAGGAAAAATGAAGTCAAAAGTCACACAGTATTTCTTACAAACTAACATTTGTATAATTATACTGCTACACAACCTGATTGTCTACACAATTTTTCCACTAAGATATTAATCTAGATTTACTGTATTTAAAAAAAAAATGTATTAATTTAGATTATGTGTGAAGGCAATCATTTTCTGATGGTTAGTTGGTTTTATGTATGAGGCCTTATGAATGGTCGATTACTTTACGGTCATTGAGACTACTTAAAGGAATAAAGTACTGTAATCATCTTTGCTTATGCAATAATTAAATTCTTATTGCAAAATTCTGGCCATGAGTAATAATAAAAATAATATGTTAGATTTATATAGCGCTAGTATGAACTATACATTATTGCACGATGAGTAGGGCAGCAATGTGTGAGTTTTTGGTCTTTGGTGTGAGGCATTAAATGTGCAATACTTCGTATGTCTGATTATAATTATCAACTCATGTGCACACTGCTGGATAAATGACAAATGAATACAAGAAACATACCTAAGGATGGCTCACAATCCTGGAAATCAAGGCTTTACACTAGTCCTTGAACCTTAGCACTTCTTGAAAATTTCCCCCAGTGCAGTAACCATGGTGTAATTTAGCTGTCCAGATTTGGCTTTTTGCATTCATTGCTTCTTTAGGTTTGAGGAAGGCTGAGTTCTGCTCAAATTCTTATCCTGGTTATAGCTGCTCTGTCCAACCTGTGCACAGAAGAAATGCTCCTGTAAAGGAAAAGGCAAATAAAGTAATAGTCATGGGAACTTGCATAGTTTATCTACCATATTAGGTAGTCTATCATACTGTATGAGGATACAGTGTACTAATCCTGTCTATAATTACTGCCTGTTATAGTTTGCATTGCCTTTGCGGTGAATTACTGTAAGAGATAGCAGTGGAAAGGGCCATGTTGTGACATTCAAAAGCCTGCATAGAAATGGCTGCAAATACACTTGTATCTATGCCATAATTTTATTTTAAAGATGTTATAAGAAGACATTACATAATTAATATATATACTTTCCTTAGTTAGCTCATGTTATCTCTGCACAATAATTACTAAATAGTATTATCCATCTCTTACACTAAGGACAAAACTTTCCAACATAAAATAAGCCTGGGTATCAGGGTAATAAGACCTAAGGCCAGGGCCTAATCAAATACATGAATCATGGGCCTCTCGATTGTTCCTTCACGTAGTGACGATCACCATTTAAGGTGCCCTGCCTAGGGTAGGCCATATCATATACAGCCTGGCCTAGGGGTGCTAGGCGCCTAGCCTATGCCTACTAAACTAGAGTCTAGGCAAATGCTAGCCTAGCTAAGTTTAGGCTAGGGCCTAGCCTAGGCCGACTACTCTCACTCTAGTCTCAGCCTGGCTAGGCCTATCCTATAGGCTAACCCCCGGCCAGGTCAAGGAAAGGACCACTTCTACCTAGGCCTAATTGCGAACATAAATTAATAATGCTAGGCCTAAGTTAAGTGAATATGAATTATAAGTTCATTATAGATTAATCAAT